ACACGGTTGACGATATGCGTAAGTACGAAGCGGATGTAAAATGCAGGCAACAACTTAGTTTTGTCGGCCCACTGGCTATCGGGTAGTCAAAGTCGCAGAGGTTTCAGCTAATATTCCAGTGGTGCCGGGTCCGCGGTCTGTTATCCGCACCTGCAGCGATCAATTGAGATCGAAAGGAGTCGTCGTGTGGCGTGTTTGCGGCAGGCAACACCCAATTTTCATCTGCTTCAGCTATGGTCCCAGTGAATTCATTGACCAAAGTTCACTCCAGTGTGAATTACCGTCTAGGAACACATATTTTTGGCAAATACATGCATGGCCCAAGGGCCGGGCATTACATAAATGTTCAGAGATTGGACAAATGTCCTAGCTTGATATTGAAATAGTAAGCATACAAAATGCAAACAACGGTCGGAATCGCTCGCGTCACGTACCATTCACACAGCGTGTACTTCGAAATGACCCACAAATTAACCGTGCAATATGTGTTCGGGCGAGTGATGGCTCTCTGACTGAGTCAAGATGTTATTAACTTTTGACCATAGTGTTCAACTCCCCCTGTTGCTCTTTTGTACTTGCTTCTTCAGAATTTGTCAAGCAAACTTGGATAAGATGACGCCTTCAAATGTAAATGTATGTGAAAAATTTTGGCGCTGAAAAATTGTATCAAATCTGTTCATTTCGGATCAATACGTTTGCAAATATCTAGTGGCCTTTTGGTATGTATCAGTCCCAACTGTAGCCAGAGGACAAATGTAGTCTCATCACTTGTCTGATATTCACACCTGAAAGTTGCAAAAATCAGGCCAGCTTATGTCAGCCATTTCAAGTGCATGGAGCATTGATGTGGAGCTCCTGCAAACCAGCATTCTCATGAGTCCCAACGCGGACCAGCGCATTCGCTTTCACAAACTTCATAGCTGTGAAATCGGTGATATTGTATCCTGTTAAGTAAACAATCATTTTCTTCGACCTCACCTGAAAGTCAGACTTCACCTGGACTTTTCAGAACTCATTGTAGTTCAGTGTAGCTTACACAAAAGCTATGAACCAGCTAAATGCTTATCAAAGTACGCTGTCATCCGAGTTTGATAAACGCTCACTGGATGCAATTGAAGCTAACTGGTCTCATATTCACCAGTCCTTACTTGCAGCAGGAAACTCCTCATGTGGTAAATCTAATCGCCAACATGGATATTGGGTCTCTTTGCATTCTCCGGAATTTATCGATGCTCGCCGGCATATTCCGGCTGGAAGCGAACACAATGAAACTCGCAAAGAGCTCCGGACAAAAGTCCGTGCTAGCCTGAAGAGAGACCGCGAATCCTGGTAGTCTTATTGTGCTTCAGAGATGGAAATGGCCGTTGCCGTTGGTAACCATCGTAAGTTATTCCGTCTGATACGGTAAACGGGCAGCAGGAGAACTGATGTTAGTGTAGCTATACGTGAAGAGAGTGGACAACCTGTCCACAACTTGTCAAAACGTTTGGAGCGTTGGGCTGGGCACTTTGAGAGGCAATTTAATCGGTCGGAATTGTTAGCTTTCTCGCCGGTCACTGATCTCCCCGCTCTATGAGCTGTCCCATTGGATACACCCTCTCGCTCAGAAGTCAAACATGAGATCTCACGGTTGGAGTTAACTAAAGCCGCGGCACTAGATGATCTACCTCCATCCCTCTTTAAATTCGGGGGACCTGCTCTTGTGGATGATTTACACGAGTTACTATGAAACTGTGGGAGCAGGAAACTGTCCCAACCGATTGGAGCCGCTCCGTCATAGTCCCAGTTTTCAAGGAAGGCTCATGATCGGAATGCCGCAGCCATAGAGCAATCAGCCCGGCTTGCATTGCCTCCAAATTGATTGCCTCCGTCATCCTTTACCGAATTGATGACACTCGTGAAAGCCATATTCGTGAAGAGAAAGCCGGATTTTGTCGACGTCGGGGCTGCATTGACCACAGCTTCAGATTGTGTCAGTTGTTGGAGCACCGTCACATATATTGGCGGCCCAACGTTGTCGTGTTCCTCGATATCAAAGATGCAGTCGATTCGGTGGATAGACGTGCACTTTGGGACTGTCTACTCAGGAAAGGTGTACCTGAGAAATATGTAAATAGTATCCGACCATTATACGCGCGTAGCTCGGGCAGAATGAGGGATTACGGCAAGCTGTTGTCGCCCTTTAATATCTCCAACGGTGTGAGAGAAGGATGCCCCCTGTCACCTTTCCTCTTCAACTTCGCTGTTGACGAAGTCATGGAAATCGCGTTTACAGGACACGATTTAGAAGGCCTAGATCTGCTCTCAGGTGAACAACTTCTTGTCTCAGAGTATGCTGATGATATTGTCCTATTCTGTGACAGCTCACAAACGTGCCAAGCGGCACTGGATAGATTAGCACGGGTTGTCAACAGCTTCGGGCTTTGCTTCACACCCTCGAAGTGCAAAGCGTTCCTCCAAGCTTGGCCTGGACCGCCTCGTCCGCTGACCCTTGGTGGGGATCAGCTAGAAGTAGTTTAAAAATTCAACTACCTGAGAAGTTGTATCAGCGTTCGTGGGATTAAAGATGAGATCACGAACGGTATAGCAAAAGCTCGACGCACTTTCGCTAACCTTCGACATTTATGGCGCCGGCGTGACATCACTCTCGCACTGAAGGGTAGAGTATATAATGCAGCGGTACTTTGAACCCTATTGTACGGTTGTGAAACCTGGCCCCTTAGATTATCGGACTTAACTGTTACACTCAACCGAAATCAGAATAACAGTATTGTAAATGGAAGTTTATTAGAAGTAATGTCAATGGTACATCGGCAGTCCACACTGGGTAGACACCAACTGTTTAGTTCTAAGCAAGTCACATGTTTTAGCTAAGCACTCGCCCTTGAACCAATCAATAAGCATCGCCGGTTAGTCGGGAGATGGACACTCACGTACTAACGCGCACAATGCAGCTCCACAGGCTAGGTAGTGTAGCACGATCTTGACGCGCTCAAAGTCTGTATCAAACTGGGCTAGTTACCTCTGACCACCGGTGCCCTCTTATTTTAGCTCACATCTGGTGGGAACACCGAGTTGGCAACTAAGATGTTCGACGCCTTGTGTGCGGCACAGGAAAAGGAAATGAATCGCTCAGCACCATTATTGCACGCATCAGGCTCCGACAGCTCGGCCACATGTTACGCATGCCAGCCCACTGACTCCCGCGACGTGCATTGTTCTCGCGGCGGGAGTGGAAATGGAAGAAGAGGAGGGGTGGCCAAGCGATGGCTTGGTCAAGAGTAAGGAAGGCTCTCACTTCTGAGCTGTCCAAAGTTGGGGCGTGTCGGCTCCCTGGTTAGGGTCTGAAGGTCGATGAACACGTTTGGCTGGATACACTTGTTGATTTGGCTAGGAGCCAACCTCAGTGGCCTTCGTGCTGTGAGTTTATTTGTCCCACCCCATCCCTCTTGGCCACCCCCTCCAAGCACGATCTCACTATTTAGCCTTATGTAATTTTGCTTGGTAATTTTTTTTTGGATGCACAGTAGTCGGATGGTAGCTTACCGGAACGAAGCGCATCCGTTATCGGTAGCTCAGCCAGCTTGCATCAGTTGCATTTTTTTCTCCTTTTTTCTTTTATATATTGCGGCACAGTAACTGAGGTGCTTCCCACCTCTAGCTAAGCTCTATAATGATGAATGATGATGTAGCCTTTTTTGTTTTCATACACGACCTCACATGTATGAAGTAGTAAAATGCTTTACTGTTTGTTTACCATGTTAAGATCTGACGTTATATCCGGAGAGTGGACGATCACAGGGTGCGGCAAGGCAACATCGATAAGGTGTGTATATGGTCATCGCGGTAACTGCTCCAATCCAGATTGGCCAAGTGCAACGTAGTAAATTCACTTTGCCAGCGTGCCGACGAATATCGACTTGGGTAACAAACTGCGTAATTTGCTTCCTAGAGAAGTGATGTTGAAGTTATTCTATGAAACGAGTTTGGCATTTCGTGATAGGCTGAACAGCGTCGGGATGTGCCAGTCAGCCCACTGGATTCTTACAGAGGAGTTTGGGAAGTTTGCGCCACTTATATTTCTGCAGATGTTAGATGTGTACTTAGGCCACACCTGGATTTGTTTTCCAATTTTGGCTCCCCTGACGAAGGCAAGATGAATATGCAATTAAAGCTCAACCAAATAGGGCAACCGAAATGGTCAGTTGTCTGTTTCACTTCTCCCAATAACGCAAGCTGCCAGTCTTTGGATGGTAAAAGAATGAGTATCGACTTTGTGAGGTGGTTTGATCATAGCTTAACTAATACAGACGCATTCAAGGCATGTCTGTCGTACTCTGTTGCAACTAAACCCCAAAACCAAACTGAGGAGCCTCGTGCTCAAAATAACCATAGATTGTACTCAAATTAGCTGCCGACAAACGTTTATCTCACCCTGAATAAGCCACAAATAGAACGTTCTTCTACCTCATTTGATGTCTCTTACGGTCGATGTTTAAAAAGATCAATTGATGGTACTCTATCCCGGCTTCATTAGGCGATATAGTCCATGCTGAAGGGAAGCTGAAACAACCCGAAGCAACCGGTGTTTCGACCGGACGTAGCAATTGTGATAACCATATTCGTATAGACATACGTCTTTTGATGAGCTTGCAACAATCAAAAGTTTATTGCTGTCACTCCTACGTTTGCTTCGGTAGTATTGATTTCGGTGATCTTATGGGGTTTGTAATGCACCTTCTGTTTTTTACCCGCGAGAAACGTTTTTCTTCATTAGAACTTACAAGCTGAAAAGAGACACAAAACGTTGTGGAGGGGGGGGGGCGAAAGTACTTACACGTGATGTGCTGCCTAATCACCTCGTTTATTTGCAGTGACAAGATACATATGCTAATAGATACCTGGATATCCATGTAATCAATGAGCTAATCCAACAGATATAAAGGAGATGTGACAAAGTTTGGTAATGCCAAAAGAGTACAAACAATCACATAACTTACTAACATAGTTGGCCTTCCGTTGCTGTTGAAACAAAGATAACGACGTGTTTGCCTGTTTCGCAGGAAGATATTGGAGTAGGTTGGAAATGCAATCCACTCCCATTCAACTACAATGATTAAATATGCTGTGAAAACCATTTGGACCATAGTAATATGATTATATGCGGTACTGTCAGTTAATGGCATATACTACAACTCACTGATGGTGGCCATAGCATACCATGTTACGAGAATATATAGAGTTTGGCGAGAATTTTCTGATCTCACATCACTGCTTATCCAGTAAAACACAATCTGCAAGTAACTGTCGCGTGTCTATCGAAGTCACCTCATAACCGGACTCTGGAAATATTGAGACACACAGTCGGAAACAAGTGCTTTCTATTATTGCTGGCACAGCATATTGTTAAGAAAGATAAGGGTACACTTGTGGCGTAATGTATGTTCTGCTTGTTGGACTAATACGCAAATCAGACCTCTCATACTAGTTTCCAAATTCTAAACTGGTGCATTTGGTTCTGTCCCAAAGGTGGCTTTGTTATGCATCTCAACTAGTAACACGAATGCGTAATGTATTCAGCTAGGTTTTTGTCCTGTAACTGTCGTTGTAAATCAATCAGTAATCAGCCGGGTCCAACAGAACGACGCAAATGTTATCGAACGCCGGATTCTTCCAAAAAGTTGTAGTTCATTTATGATGCCTTAGGTAAAAAAATAACACAGGTGTGCAATTTTTTAACACGAAAATGTGTGCTGTAGGTAACAAAGAAGGTTTTATTATACTGCGAAACTAAGACTATTTTATGTTAATATATTACCGCAACTATTCACACTAAACTGAATAAAATTGTCACATTTGTCTTCACATATGCGTTAACAATTCACTTTGGCTTAGATGCAGCTCAAATGGGTAGAGCTGTTCCGATTTTGTATGATCTGAGTAATGAGCGATGTCTAACCACATGTTCAGCTTCCAATAATTTGACTTGAGTAACCATGAGGTAGAGTAGCAAACGGTCTACAAGCGAAAGAATTGGTCTGGTAATCAAACACAAACAATTCTGAAATTCTGGAACCTCAGTCCCACGACCACACATGAGATTAGAAATAAAATGAAATTTTGTGATTAGAATGCTTAAAGGTCGGAAGTCAGTATGTACACACGTCACATTCAGTTCAGCGACCGTTTTGAGGAAGCTGCTATCGTCGGGTATCTATCGCTTCCCCGGAGTTGCTATCATCCACCCGGAAGCACTGTAGTTGGCAGCTGTGAAGATAGCCGAGCTATTAATCTGATTGTTCCAAAAGTGGGTAGAGTAACAGCAGGTCCCCAACGCGTGGAAGCAGGGTATCACAACCCGAGGTTCATTGGTGGTAGCGGTTTGGAACCTGCCAATTTTCATCCAATGATTCTCCGCTCATGCTGTCAATGATAATGGGGCTGATCGTTGCTGATGTATTTATGGACTATTTAGTAGGAAGTAACATAGTTGTGCCAGAGCAGCACGCCTGTCGTCGACACCGTTCATGTGCTACCAAAATACTGGTTGCGCGTGACGATTGGATCGAAACATCGGATGACCGGACCGGAACCGATGTCATCTGTTTCGAGCGTTCTAAAGTCTTCGACCGCTTAGATCATCGGTTCCTTCTCCAAAGCTGTAAACTTATGGGATTTGTAACCTTGTCCTTTGGTGCATTAAAAATTTCCTCCTTTAGCGGCGGCGTCAGGTTCGGTTTATGGACTCATTGTTAAAGCCTACTGAGGTGGATTGCGGTGTTCCAACAGAATCAGTGGAGGGGTCACGACTATTTCTGGCAGCAATCAACAATGGCGTGAGTCGCTGAGTAAAATTTCCTGCTTTTCACCGATCATATCACAATAGGGCGGACGATTTGTAGTTATGAAAATCATCGGACCTGAACTGTGTTTCTGAGTGGTCAAAGGCGAAACTACTTCCGTTCAAATCGGAGGTGTAAAACTACTTGTACGCCACAGACTCCTCAGAACAAATAAGCTTGGAGACCACATGTTGAAGACGGCCTCACAAGGATGTGATCTCAAGGCGGTGATGCAAGACGATCTGGGCTATACGAAGCTGTTCTTGAAGGTATCCAAAACCGCGAACTATCATGTTTGTCTTTTAAGCAGAGCGTTCGGGCAATGTGATCATTCCATCTTCCAGCAAACGCTCAGCGCCTATGTGAGACCCCAAGTACAGTATGCGATTCAGGCTTGACAACCCTATCTTCAGACGTGAACTAGCCGTACTGGGAATTTTACAGCGAAGAGCAATCAAAAATGTAAGGGTATTATTCCTCACGCTATACAAACTGGGACCGAAAACTTCAGGAGTGTACAGCGGAGTTTATCGTCGTCTACTGTGTGACCTCATTCTGGTGTATCAGATTTGGTAAAGATCTATCGACCTTTTCCGCCACGCCGTAAAACATAGTCGCAATACAAAAGTGAGGGGCAAGCAGCTGCTATTAGCCACGTAATTGGGTCGGCTGGAAAGCGGCAGGCACTATTATTCTTCTAGAATTTGTCGGGTGTTTAACGCTTTTCCGACTATCGTCATTTATGCACCCGCTTTACTCACTTTTATAATACTACTCAAGAATGCACTGCATTGTCCGCAGTACGCTGTTTGAATCTGTAAGTCAAATGAGGACAAGACAGTGACAAACATTGTGCTCAACAACCTCCACTAAATCGCGGTAGACGAATATACGTGGGTGCTAACGTGGATATTATGCTGATACCACAAATGCGCGTTCTACTTTGCTGCCAGTATTAGAAACTATCTAAAGCACATAAGCCCTCCTACAGGATCAGTCAAGCCCTGGCTTTTATATTTGTATTACAGCTCAAAACTTCTTGACTGATTAATTCAACGAAGCGCTCTTGTGACTCACAAGCAAAGTAACAACCTTAGAGTTCTCTGACAGACAGTCTCTGGCTTTCAGCAATGAAGGTGCTACCGCGCTGGTGACGCATTTCCCTCATGTATTTGCAAGTGGGCTTGCGTCCATACCAAGCTCGAGGTGTGCAGCCCCAATGGAACTTGAAAGTCAGGATTGTGATACGGAAGATGTTCGCAATCTACTTGCCTTTACTGACAGCAAAGAGTCTGCAGGTGCAGATGGGCTCTACCAGCTGATTCTCAAGTCCCTGTCGACCATCATCTCGCTCCCCATGACTGATCGGCTCAAAAATAGCTGTCCGAAAGTACATTGTCGAAAGACTGAAAAGGCTTGATAGTGAAGCCGATTCCGAATGGAGGTAACCCAAACAAAGTGGACGATTGCCGGCCGATTTATCTGAGCTCCATTTTGGCCAAACTACTGGAGAAGCTCGTGAAAACTGGTCTAATGCACGGGTTCATGAAGGGCCGCTCCTATATCACCTGCCTGCTTTTGACGAGGCATGATTGGTTGCAAGCGTTGAGGCAAGGGAAGTCTGGGGAAGTGGTCCACATTGACTTCAGCAAAGCGTTCAACAAAATGAACCGTGAGATCCTCTTTCACAAGATGAGAATGTGGGATGATGGTGGCTCCCTGTACAGGTGGATCGGCAACCCTCTCACCGGACGGAAATGGAGGGAATAGGAGAAGACTATCTAACGGACTGGCATCCCTCCATCAGTGAGGTATCTCGAGGTAGACGGCATAGGTACTGCGACCCAGTTTGTTCCGGGTCCCCATCAGCCATCGCGACGAGACTGGACTTTAACGGGGTGTGATGGTTTGTGTGCCTCAGTGATCCAATGAGCTATGCTGAGTGGTGGATTTTTGCACCTCCAGTGCTACACATACCAGATTTGTCAATGGTTAGACGCCTGACAAACTCAGTCTCCTGGCCCTCCAGGTTGGGGGTTGGAGTGAGGGTGGTTCCTTATTTCATACAACGGGCTCTCTGTAGTCCAGTGCCAAAACCCCGCGGCCTTGCGGTAAGTTTTTTGAACCAAAGGCTTTAGTTATGAACCCTAATCGTTCTCCTGTCTAGACCTGGACGACCTGACAGTATGCTGCCCACGTAATACAATGAACTTTGCTCCTAACAATTTCTTGATACTCTGACCGTTGCAGGGGATAATCAACGGCACACTATCTGCTGCCTCGAGCAGGGTGGATAGGGGTTGGGATGCTACTGCGCAAGCCTTCCCATCTTCTTATCCCCCTTGCGCTTTTTCATCCTTATCGTTCCGTTCCAAGTTTACACTTATCCCCCATTTTCAATCCACAATTCTTTGCCCTCCCCCACCTTGCTGCAATAGTCGCTTGTCTACTAGTTCCAACTCACACACAATCGCAGAGCGTCGCTCCAATCCAGTCAACAAGTCCATGTTCAACCAAGCGGACAACGTCAGTTCATCCGTTTCAATTTGGAGTCCCTGAGTCTCGCTGACTGGCATGTCTCAATGTGCGTCCTTTGCTAGATTGACCAATAGGCAGCACTTGCTAGCACACTAGTGACCCTATCGATCGCTACTTGCAGTTTATCAGAAACCCGCCTGCCAGATTCGAGCTCCGTGCTTACTTTGCGATCTCCCACATGCGACACTTGCGGCCTAAGCCTGCTGATTGCGAGTGATGATGATGAGTTGGCTAACTTTTACAAAAATCCTCACTACTACTCATCAGTACATTCTCATTGCGCCTGTCTGGCGATCATGTAGCTTCAAATGCCGGGCAAGCTGGCGTCCGCATTGTTTTGAGTCCCCTAGCTGAAACTACCTTGCTGGATTGGATCCCATTTAACAGTCGGACGTGCGCCGTTAGATTAGCTGATTCGTTCCATGCTACGAAGCCTCGCGGGAACAAACGGTGCTTGTTTGTCATTGTGCTCTACGCCCCTGAAAACGGCAGCACTGATTCGGTGACAGAGGACTTCTATCAACAACTTCAAGATCTCCTTCGTTACAGACGAAGCACAGATACTGTGGTGTTGGCTGGCGATCTAATCGCCCAAGTCCGAAAATTGTCCTTTGATGAGCTTCAGCTGGGCGGCCAACACGGTGTAGGCTCCCGTAATGATAACGGTGAGTGGTTGGTACAGCTGTGTGAGGATGCTCGTCTCTTTCTCGCGAGCACAAACATTCGACGCAGCACCTGCAAAAGTGTGACGTGTCGCCCACCAGTCTCGCATTTGCCATGGACGCAAATCGATCAGATCGCGATCAGTTACCGCTGGAGAGGCTGTGTCCAAAACTGTCGCTCGATTTGGAGCACGAGCATGGACTCTGACCACGCTCTAGTCTGCGCCGACCTCCGGGTGCGTTTCGGTGTGCTTCCACAATGTCGATGTGAACGGATTGACACCAGCCAACTGGCGAAGCCATGTGTTCTGAATGTGTATCAAAGTGCGCTGACATCCTGGCTGAGTAAGCGTCCACTGCACACAGTCGATGATCACTGGTCGCATATACGTCAAACGTTACTAACAGCAGGCATGTCTTCACGTGTCAAATCAAATTGCCAAACTGGATATTGGGTGCCTACACAGTCTCTGGAGCTTCTGGATGCTCGCCAAAGTATTAGGGCTGGAAGGGAATGCAATGAAGCTCGCAAAAATCTCAGAGCAAAACTGTGTGCAAGCCTGCAGAAAGACCACGAAGCCTGGTGGTCTCATCGTGCCTCGGCGATGGAAACAGCCGCTACCGTTGGTAATCATCGTAAGTTATTCCATCTGTTATGTGAAACAGGCAGCGAGAGACCTGGTGTTAGCGAGACCATACGCGAAGAGAGTGGGCAAGCGATCCACAGCCTATCAAGACGATTGGAGCTTTGGGCCGAACACTTTGCAAGGCAATTTAACCAACCTGATGTTATTGCTTTCTTTTTCGGGCCGTCTCCTTGGATCCGCCCTCACTCGCAGAAGTCGAACGTGAGATCAGGCTGCTGAAATTACATAATGTCGTACAGGCAGATAGAATTCCCCCAAACCTCTTCGAATTTGGGGGACCTGCTCTAGAAGATGATTTACACGAGCTGCTAGTGAAAATTTGGGAAAGGAGACTGTCCCGACAGACTGGAACTGCTCCGCTATTGTCCCAATTTTCAAGGGAGGCTCCCTTTCGGAAAACGTCAATCATATAGAGATCAGTCTGATCTCAATTGCTCCTAAATTACTTACATCTGTCATTCTTCACAGACGGACTGACCCTCGTGAAAGCCACATTTGTGAAGAGCAATCCGATTTTCGTCGAAATCGTGGCTGCATCGACCATGTCTTCACTTTGCCTCAATTGTTGGAGCACCGCCACTGTTATTGACGACCCACCGTTGTCGTGTTTCTTGACATAAAATGTGACTTTGACTCGGTCTATCTTTGTGCTCTATCGGACTGTCTGCTGAGGAAACATGTGCTTGATAAATAAGTAAACATTACCAAAGCGCTGTACGCGCATAGTTCGGGCAGAGTTAGGGTTTATGGCAAACTGTCGCCACCCTTCAGTATCACCAGCGGTGTGATACAAGGTTGACCGCTGTCACCTTTCCTATTTAACTTCGCAGTTGACGAAGTCTTGGAAACAGCATTCGCTGGACACGACCTAGAAGGTGTGGAGCTACTTCCTGGTGAGCGACTTCTTGACTTAGAGTATGCGGACGATATTGCCCTAATCTGTGACAGCTCCCAAACATGCCAAGCAGCCCTGGACCGATTAGCACTGGCTGTCAATCGTTTTGGGCTATGCTTCGCTCCATCGAAATACAAAGTACTTCTCCAAAATCAGCAGGGACCCACCCCTGCGCTGACCCTTAGTGGTATTCAGCTAGAAGTCTTTCAGGAATTCAAGTACCTGGGAAGCCATATTATTCCCCGTGATATCGAAGATGAGGTTAGGAACCGTATAGCAAAATATCGAGGTGCTTTCGCCAATCTCCGCCACCTGTGGTGCTGACGTGAAATGACTTTCGCTTTGAAGCGCAAAGTTTATTTCGCAGCCGTCCGTTCAACCCTCCTTTATGGTTGTGAAACCTGGCCCATCAGGTCGACAGTCATAAAGAGGCTCGTCACGTTTGATCATCGCCGCCTTCGCAGCTCAGCTCATATCTGGTGGGAGCACCACATGAGCAATGAGCGTGTTCGTCGTCGCGTATTTGGTGCAGGAAGACCGAATGAACCGCTCAGCACCGATATATCACGCACCAGGCTCCGATGGCTGGACAAAGTTTTGCGCGTGCCAGCGCACCGACTCCCGCGACGCGCATTGTTTACGCGCCGGGGGTTCGGTTGGAAGAGGAGGTGTGACTAAGCGATAGCTTGGTCGAGAGATATGAAAACGCACACTTCGAAGTTGGCGTCGGTTGGTGCATCCCGACTGCCTGGCTGGGGTCCCAAAGTCGATGAACACGTTTGGTTGGACATACTTGCTGATATGGCGAAGAGCCGGTCCCAATGGCGTTTGCGCTGTGCGCTTCTTTGTCCATCCCCCTCCAATCCCGATTTCATGCAAACGCATAACATAATATTTAACATCATATTTTGTAGTGTACTTTGTGTATTTTTTACTGAAACTTTTTGCTCTCTTATCGTTTTGTATTGCAGCCCATTAGCACCAGTGTGTTGCTCCCTCAGCTAATAAGTGCTGATGAGGATGAGGATGATCCGTATCAGCGAAGCACCTCAAGTTCTTCGGTCGCCTTGTGTCATGTTTTAGAAGCACAGAAGATTTAGAGAAAATTGTTGCACCCGAAGATTGCAATATACTTCCTCGTGACGCCCGCTGCCTGTCCAGTTGGTCTGCAGATGTCGATCTGCCGGATAACCCAGTTCAATAGTTATTTATGAGCCTGGTGAATGTTGTTGATGGGCATACGTACAGAGTGGCCAGCCAACCGCTGCTTCTCAAGCACTGCGTGAACGATCTCGGCGTACTCTCACGCTGCGATTTGAAGTCGGTAGACAAAACGAACACGCTATATGGAGACGGACTGCGCATGCTGTGGACGCTCAAATGCAGCTTATGCGTTTGGTCTGAAGATATAAGCCATTCGCCTCCTCTTCCATTAGAAAACGGATGCTCAAATACGGATTCCCCGCTTGGTATCGCATCACCTCTGGCGAGGAGCAAAACTGGAACGTGTTCAGCCTGTGGCTACCAGCTTCATCCTCGGTTTACGCGATATGTCGTGCGAAGTCCACTGAAGACGGTTGAGCCTGTACACTGTCGTACCGTCGGGTTAGAGTTGACCTCATTGTGACGCACCGGATTTTGCATCCGGATACTTTCGTCATGTTAAGACCACTGCCATACTTGCGCACACCAAACAGCACTAGCGGTCACAGGTACCATCTAGCGTTACCGGACCTTATACAAATAGCTCACTCTGTATGCTTAGAGGGTCGATTGACAAAATGGTGGGACGGTTTGCCCAAGAAATTAGTCGAGGTGAAATAGGTGTCAGAATTCAAAGAACTTCCTAGACATCCACTTTACGGAGTTTAGATTCAGGAGGCGCATCGCAACAAACAGAATAAGGCGCTGCTGTAATATGTTACAAACGCGTAGGAATCAGTGACGTGGTCCAGCGCACATGCCCGAAGTAACTGCGATGGAGCAATACAGATATACGCCTATTAACTCCTCATAATCAGTATTTGTTATAACCTGGTTAATGAGACAGGAGCTTTAGTTGAACTCAGTAGCAGGTCGAACCCCCATTTGGAACAGCAAACAGTCATCAACGTAAAGCTAAAAAACAGCAGCAGCGATATGAGCGTTACAAGTGGTTACAGTCGGTGAAAGATTAAATTTACTGTCTCTATGGGTATCGAAATTATGATACACACAGATAGAGCAGAGTACAAACCTGGTTTTCAGTTTGCATCAAAGGCAAATAATTGCTCACCCTCTTTCCCTAGTGGATTTCTATTGTTCGCTGAAAGCATCGATCCTTTTCCGTTGTCTCCCATGTACGCGCGGGCCACAATGCTGTAGAATCGGAAGACCCGATATGGCTGAGTCTGCCTGGACTCAACTTGTATCAGGAAACTCTGATTGCGTGCTGACACCTGAGGTGGATCAGCAGAAACCTCAGCTACTACGTTACGACGGATTTGAAAACCCGAAATGTCGCCAAAAGTAAGAGACATTTTCTGTGAACGTAAAAGCGGACCATTGCGATTACAATGCAACCATGACTTAATATACAATGCAAGCACTCTATATTATTCCTTATAACTGCAAAGGCCGATAATTCGGTTTAAAAGAGTTTTAATATACGACAAACATTTCTAAGTTTATCATAACTAATGTTATAGAAAAGTGGTAGGAGGAGTTGAATGGTATAGGTCGAAATTCGTCACATCTAGACTCACTCAGACAGCCGTCACACACCAACAAATTGATGATAACGGAAATCTTTCCTGTTGCTCTGCAGGTGGATGCCTAACTGACAACAGTAAAAAAAATAGTAGTTTTATAAAATCACTATGAGATATCGTAGTGCAAACTGGATTTATGGGTAAATTCTGTTCGTGCTCCAGGCACGATGAAGGGTTGTTTGAAACCCTTACAAAGGACAGCTATAGGATGACCTAGATAGGATGCTCTGTGGAACGCCAAAACTCCATTGCGCTTCAATATGGGGGAATGTAAAGCATTGACAAACAGACAACAGAACCCGTATTTCTTCATGTTCAGTACACATTTCCTACAGCCCTATTTTGTCGAACGTAACTTCAGGAACCTGGTTCGAAGTGCAGAACTATAGGTTATAACTCCAAAGAAGCTATTTATACTTAGTGAATCAGACAGTCTGCGTCCCTAAGCAACAAAGTGTACAGAGCTCAGTGTGATATCTAACTGCCTATTGGAAATGGATAAGGTGTGGCACAGACGACTGAGTACTGAAGCATTTTCTATGGTTAGCCAACAGGTGGAAGAATTAAGTTCATCGACAGTTAAGGCAACTATATTGTTGAATTAACTTCAAACTATTACCTTTCAGGCCATTGTTAGGGTTGAGTTTCCGAAGCTGCCACCATACGTGACTGAGGTCTGTAAATTTTTGCTATAATCACTATGAGACCTCCACGATTATTTCCAGTGAAGTCTGTGATTTATTTAGTCGATCCTGGTACATAGGGTAGCGCAGACCCTTGACGTTTTCATTGCTTAAGGTTTTGGGGTCCCGAGCGATGTGCGATCACGCTTTTACCAAGCTTCCCAAGCCTGGAGAGTGTATTCAACATGAAGACACACGTAAACATTGATCAACAAAGTGAAGATGGATGAATCCAGAATCCCGAGAGCCCACTGCAGGAGATTACCCTGCTAGTTGCCACTTTTGACGTGGACCCTGACTAACTTGTACAACCGAAGTCGTCCTGTACCAGCACACAGAGGTCACATTCCTGTGTGGTGGTCTTCAAATCATGCACCCAAAGCTTGAGGATGCAAGCGTGTCGATGGTATATGTGTACACTGCTGCACCTGTCCAGATTAAATGGCAGTGCATTCCTCAGTGACCAATGCTAGGCCTCACTGAATTCGTGTTGGGTGATCTCATGATCGTCCGATCCCATGATCTCAAGCCAGATATGAACATCGTCCGCGAAGAATAAAAATTTTGAAATAGAAACATTGTCCAGGCTTAAGTACTGGAATCTGCGGTACACCGTACTCCACTCGAATCGGATTGGACAACGATGTTCAAACTCGAAACTCTAACTGCTGCTGGTGGAGAAAATTGCCGATCCACTCCAATACTGATCTCCGACACCATAATGCTGAAGTATGTAAAGCAGGATACGATGGCCAAAGCGATCAAACCCTTTTGAAATGCCCACAAAAATAAAATCTGTTCTTGTCCACACGTCGAATGCTTCTGTCCACTAGGCACGTACTATCATCAGGTTTGTGGTACATGACCAATGTTGACGTAACTGATGCTGACTAGGGACGATGGAGCCGTGGGTTTCCAGGGAGCCCATCACTGTGTATGCGATGATTGCTTCCACAATCTTGGCGAGCACAGGGAAAAGGGTTACCAAGGGGTAATTGGCAGGATGATATAGACGTCTTCCCCTGTGGATAGGAGAAAGGATATCCCGTTTTCTCTTTGATGGAACTATTGTATCTGCTAAACAGCACTGAAAGAATCCGGAAAGTGATTCGGTTGGGTGCATTGCTATTACTTGCAGTGAATCCGAGTGCATCTTCTCCGCTTCAGGGGACCTTTGTGTACGCAGTCATATTGGTTTTACTATATCGTTTGTTTGGTGAATGTGACACGGATCGAACCTTATGATGAAGTGATAGAAACAGGAATAGCACCCGAGCCTTGTATTCCTTGTAAGATGGGTAAATATTGAACCCGTAAGCGTTGAGCTCTATGTGTATACCCACCATCCGTATCGAATAGCGGGATTCAGCTCCGCACTTGAAGAAAGCTTTTTATGTGTCTGTAATGAAGTTTGCGATCGTCTCACTGGCTGCCGCTGGTGTGTTAACGTCTCTACAATGCAACTGTACAGAGCACTCGCATTGATCTATGTGAGCTTTGCAACCTTGAAGCTGGGAATTCTTCTGTAAAATCGCGATGTCCGATTCTTCAAGGCCCTTTATTTCGTGTTCGGTTTCGCAAAATACTTTGGTCTGGGAGGACGATTAAAACATTTTAACTGTTACTTTTGAGGCTACTGATTTAAAGGTTTTCAAGAATGCATCCCAGACTGTTTCTGGTTGCACTCAGACATGAACTTTTAATTAGTGTTTTGAACTAAGGCGGACACCACATGGAAAAGTGTAATAACTTGCGTAATTTCGGGCGCTGCATCGGGGTGGTAAATGTAATTGAACGGTAAAGTCACGTGATCGCCTAGACCCAAAAGACTGCATACATTAAAATCATCAACACTGACCTCTATGCTGGTGAGTACTAGGTGCAACGGTCGAATGAATATACTAGAGCCAGGGAAATCAAGGGAAGTTAACAGGTTGCATTTCCGTACCGCCTTCATCATCAACATCATCTTCATCAACATTATTAGGAGAACAGCGATTAGACATTCATTTATTGTGACCCAGCTTGATAGCTATTCTTTACTCTTCCTATTTTCTATTTCTTGACTGTTGTTTAAACGCTCTATTGGGTTCGCCCGATTGGTACATCCACGTCATTGTTAATGGACGCTCATCGTCATGCCTTTCTCAGCAGCGCTGTTTGCAAGAACATATTCTATTGGTTTTTTCTTCTCATCACTGTTCTACTTGGTTATGTTAAAGGAATATTTAGTGTCACACAATTAATGTACTAGTTTTCAACTTTTGGGTCTGCATTCCTTATTCGCGTTTGTTTCGTGACTTTTGTTTAAACGTTTCATTTCGTCATTCTGATTGGCCAGTGCCCGTCACTGTTAATGGTCGTTCGCTTTACGCTTGGAGTCCAATGATGCTATTTTTAGGGACCTACACGATTCGCTCTTGAGTACACGGTTGCTTATTCGCCGTTGCATTTTACGTTTTTCCTTCAGTTGGTTGGCTCAAGTGTACTTTAGTAGCTTCCCTTCATTTTGCCTTCAAACTATATAAGCAACTGTGATTTCATGTATACAAGTCTCCTTCTGGCTCGTCTTTGGACTTCTTCTTGCGGTCGTGGGGTGAAGGCGTCAGCAGCGACACGACAAACATCATCTCCTCCTTCTTCCTCAACCCCATTGTTACACATTATCTGAGGACAAGAAACATACCACAGCTACTGTGTGGTAAGAAAAATTGACGTTTTTCATTAGTTTTCAAGAGCCTTTTTTCGTGTTTCGTCATTTTCATGTTAGGCATTATGTACTTGAAGCTAAACAACTATGTACACATATCTTCCATGGGTTTCGGTTGTTTGTCATATCCTGAATTGTTTTGGATTACGGAACTCTTCGTCCTTCGGTCCACAATTGCGCAGCCGCGTGGATCCAGCGGCAGCAAGACGTGAACTCAATGATTTCATATGTTATCGTCAGGTGAAAGGTTGACCACCGCGTCATGTCTTCCAGCCGGATTCTGCACGAGCGGACAGGGCGCGATGCGGCAAACGCTCAACTGATCTACACAGGGCGGGACCGATCCATCTTCTGTAGGACACGACGCCTGACTTCACCAATGCAGATACGTTATTGCCACCATACACGAGCAATCCTCCTCAAGCTCTCGTTGTCGAAGAAGTGATGAGGGCGCATGTCATCCACGCGAACTGGCCACGAAGCGTAATTATGCTGCAACACCACACGAAATGTGACCTTGTAAACACGACCATTTGACAAAAGGATCACATCTTCTGGACTGCACAGCTGTTTCAAGTGGACCGAAATTTGGTGATTCGAGATGTTTCCTTAACAATAATATCACCAGCAGATATGCAGCTGCCTAGATAGACGAAGTTGTCGGCGTGTTCAAGCGGAGTCTAAACATAATGATGTATTCCGTTCGGTCAGCCGGTAGCTTAAACAAAATCTAAGTAGTAATCCCCAAGCCTAGTGCTCTGAAGTTGTTTCGGAGATAGAGACGGCTCTCCTCACTGGTAATACTCGCAAGCTCTTCCAGGTCGTTCGATCCACTGACCTCAGAAAGCTTGGGTTAGTGAGACTACTTTCGAAGCGGTTGACTCGACGAATGTTGACCTGTTGAGACGCTTGTATCGGTGGGTCAAACATATTCATTCCCATTACAATTGGCCTTCACCGTTCACCTTTATGCCGTGCGTGGAGATCCATGTGTTCATAGCATGTTGATAAAAATCACAGATTGATTGTTCCAAAGACATAATCGTCTTCCGTATGAATGCCCAGAGTACATCAAGGTATTGAAGTACATCGGCCAGGAAAGATTGATAGCTCAGCTGAACCGAGGGAGTAGATGGTGTCTTCGTATCCAATTCACAGTGCTTCGTTCTCATGGACCCCCGAATCTCCTGCACATCTTCGCACATACAAAAGTATGGTCGGAGTCACCACATGTGGAGAAAATTGGTCTGCAATTATTTGCACTATGACGCCATCTGAAACTGATTGCGATATGATTAATCTGAGACCAGGATTAAGGTCGCAGTGTTGGACTTCAAGTAGAGGAGCATCTTCTTGAAAGCTTAAAACTGCTTTCCGAGAGGAACAGACGATTGTTTTCACCCAGCGTGAGAACTTTCTCTCTATTATCTGAGTGGCTCTCATCGAGTGCATGGTGACTATAGTGGTAACTGTCACATATTGATAGACCAACGACCATTGCTTTACTATTCCCAGCAAAGGGAACAACATACCATTACCAAACTCTGCTCGAGAGCTGGTGTAGTTCCTGATAATAATCGTGCTTGACCAAGCCACAAGCTGCGTTTCTCCTCCTGTTGAACTTGAAAGGTTCTGACTACCAAACTACACGCATTCGGCTACTAATAAGCAATTAGCACAGCAGTTCGGTCTGGACCTGGGTACATAGTACCACACCGAGGTGACCTGCCACGGCTGGTTCTGAGCCATCAGATAGACGTGGGTGTAATATAGTCCCGAGGTCGTTGGGATATCTTAACTCAAACACAGTACTGAGATCTTGTATTTGGGTTTCGGAAAGACTGCAAAGATCGATGGTGATGGAATCCAAAGTATACGCGAGACCAGTCTACTACCCGATCTGTCTGAGTTTATGCACACTAAAGTGGGCCAGAAGGGGCCAGGATTTGGGTCGTAAGGGAGCCACTAGTTTAACTCTGCGAACGTCGACGCAATCATGGGGATTGGAAGCATGGAAACTGGAGTCGCCTGGTAACGGATAACATTGATTGTTAACAAATGAACAAGTGTCGTGTAAAGGTACGGAAGCAAGCGAATGATGGTGAATGAATGATTCATGGTTTTGTCAGTGGGTGCGGAAATACCCCCTTGTCAAAGCCTAGGTAGGGCGTTGCTATGGGAGAAAACTCACTCAGCCATTGTCTTAATAGCCTGCCCACAAGGCCCCGGATATAATTACAACATTTTGGAGTCTGTGAATGACTGCTCTATCCATAGGTCTTTTGGTTGTTAAGACATCAAACAGAGACCCGATGCTGTCCATGATATCAGCACATACTTGCAGGAGTAAAATACTCCACCAAAAATAAGCACGACACAGTGCCTTTACTTAGCTGCAAGTCCAATACGTTGCGTAGCAGTGATGTTAAACTGACATTTGTGACCTTCATGTGGGAAACCTTTTCCAGGCGAAAACTCACCTCTTCCTAACATACTGCCACCGAACACTTCGCTAATAGGAGATAAACCCGAACCACCCAGTTTGTACTACGAAGAAGTAGTTTGGCAAACCAATCATAGAGTGTTTATTCGCTTTTCTGTACCTTTTGTGAGCGGTGGAGTGATTGCACAACTGTGTCTCAGAGATTAGTTCTTGCAGATAGGACGTTAACAGTTCAGTCTTGCTTACTGGAGTTTCCAAATCACGGATCAAAATTTCCTGTACTGAAGGGATGGCTGTATTTCTGATTTGTCACAATCTGAAAAGCCGGTATTAGTCTGAGGTCCCTTTCTTGTAGGTACCAAGTGTCGATAGAACGTTATTAATGGGTTGATTTAGGCGTACCAGTGCACGGTATATGCGAACAACCAGCAAATCCTGGTACTGGACTTTGTTCGGATGTAGCAACTTATTTGGTGTCATTTCTAGGTGCCTAGCCAGCGTCTTTTATATGCGATCACCTGGACACTTCGCACTTCCGTCCGCTAATGACATTCTCCATTTTTTCCGATTAGATCATTACTACTTTGGATGTTTTACCACTAGGGTCCTTTGAGCCATAACATAATGTGACAACTGTTTTGATAATAACTGCAAAAATCCGATTCACTAAAGACTTAGTTACCTCTATCAGCATGTTGTATAACCATGTGATTTGTTGTTTACACGAATACGGTATTTAGCATATTTGCTAATAAAAATGAACCAGAAAGCAAATAAACTTGCTAACTCACGATGAATTGTGTCATCAGGCTGAGGATATTGATGGTAGTTGTAAACTTCGGCTTTGCTCTGAAAAGCGAAAATAGCGCGGGGCTAATAGTCAAATTCTACACAGGGAAACCTGTCTGCTTTTGCACTCTTTTTTAATCCTCATCTTTAAACAACTTCATTTTTGTTACATAGCACTGAGTCATTCGGCTACTGAAGTACCACCGAATCGCCGATTGTTCGTGCTAGAAACTGGATTAGGTACGACGTCATTTCAGGACAGATACAGTCCCGCTGTTTGTTCAAGCGACGCCTAACAAAGTGTGCTTATCTAGACAATGGGTCAAACTGTCTGTTGCTGCCGGCGTTGTGTGTATTTCCAAGCGGGAAGGCACGTTTTTGTTCAACACGATTGGAGTTCCCTAGATGTTGCCACTTTTTATACAACCAAGGGGTGTGGAAAGCCGGCAGCTGCCTTACGAGGTATGCTAATGTAAGCATGCATCCAGGGCTCGCACCACTTACAATTGGAAATGTAGTCACGTGTTCCCGACTTCAAATGGATACCGGCTGCTGAAGCCTCAACTACTAAAAACGTGGTTTCCTTCAGGTTATGCTGAATAAAATGGGACAATGACTCGTAGATTGCTTCCCAGAATAACAGATAACTTCCAGGAGGAACAGCAGTTTAACATCAACAGAACGATATGTCAGGCAATGTGGTATGCGATTTTGGCTTTACCACATCCGGTTCACTCAGTAAGATGGAACGATGGCTAACTTTGGTGTAATGTGGTTACCAGACAGGTTTCACTAACCGGATCTACTGAGTGTAGCCTGTAATCAAAGTGTTAAATTTGTTGACTAATCCCTCATTTGTTTATCCGCACACGTTCTTGTCGTAAACATCTCAGGCATAGGGTTAGTTCAGCGAAAACTGACACCACAATGTTCTTTCTTAACTTGCATAGAAAGGGTTGAAAGTGACTGGGTTTTGCAAAATTCTTTCGGAAGTTGGTGCAAGTTTGACATAGATGTATAAAAGCGAGTAATTCATGTGCTGTAAGTGGATACTATCACCCTTTCGGCAAATGACTCAATTTCTTCTGACTCAGTTTGCGTCAAAAGAATACGCCGCTGGTTACTTTCTGCGGAAGATAGACACTCAGCATATAGATGCAACGGATCCGGAAGGAGAAAGTCATTTGGCAGAATGACGGCAATTGTCATTGGGACGTACGTTTCCCCAATCTCGCATCACAGGCCGGTCGAATGTAATCCGTTTTCTGAGTCGAGATTGCAAGTCATGTATATGACAACGAATAGGAAGCACTGCTTCCTCAAAGGATTTTTGGGTACTACTGGTAAGTTACGAATATAGTAAAAATCTACCTTACCAGTATGGTTGGGGTAGACAATTTAAAAGATTCCCCTTTTCCAGCTTCTTGAACACATATATTCCCTGGTACTGGACATAACCTTAAACATTTTATCCCTACATATCCTCGTCCATATGTTCAGATTTGCGTGTTGTTAGGTACCATGTGACGTTGGACTGAGGGATGTTTTTGCCGAGTATAACGGAGCTTATCATACTCATAGTAAATGATTATCCGAATTTAAAGGAAAACTGATTTATACTGACCGACATATTATACCGTAGCTGAGATCTCTGTCGTTGTTAGGTAAACGTCATGAAACCACGCACATATGGTGGTCTGTGTAAACAGAGAGCATAGTCGATTAAACTGACAGCAATTATTTTCTTATTACTTTTAGTGGAAGGTCTCCACTTTGGGTACCAAACACGGCTAGCTGAATAAGTAAGGATAAAGTGGTTAGGGGGTTTCATACTTTAGTGGCAGAGAAAACGAAACTGAGGGTTTTGTTAGCAAAACAGCATGTTGGTCCCTTACTCTTAGTTCGGCACTGCAATCATGCGATAGATAGAAAACTATTCTACCCTTATTGTACAATTTGTGTTGAATGTAGTCTAGTGTGGAAAAACATGTTAACATTTAGTTCGTGTGTACATAAGCAACGGTAGTCAGCATGAAAAAGTTAACCCAAACCCGAAGTCACAAAAAGTATTTTGACAGACAGTATTGAAAATCCTCTTAAACAGAAGTCGCTACAAGTTCCACCGAATTCAGCATTTCTGACCTCGTCTTGGCGGATTTCTCGCGGTGGGCGAAATTAATGCATTGTGGCATGTTTGGCCGTATCATCTGACTGTACCCCATTTGTATTCTCGACATCATGACTAGTTGGTTATGGGCTGGCAACATTTAAACAACCGTGTCAATGTTATAAGTGAGTCCACACGGAGGAGTTTGTGGAATGAAAGAAACTGGTTACAAGTTAGTCGGAAAGTCGGATGGTGGAGGTTTGAGAACTGGAGGTAATAGGTGATTACAGTTGTTTCTCGATGACCTTAGCTCTTACGAGAGTAAAAAGTCGTCAAAAAAGTTAATCTCCACTATCAAGTATAGCTGTTTCAATAAAATCTAGAAGCTTTGGTTGACAGCGCAGTTCAGTAGACACATTTACCACGGCATGAAGCGAATTCACACGGTGGCTGAATGCACCGTCGTTGATGGTTGTCAGCCTACCGATCTTTTTCACAAACATTCGCGTCCCGCAGTTACAATAGCTCGTCCACCTCTCGGTTGACATTGGATCAACTAGATGAACTATGCTGTCGTTCGCTACATGGATAAGTAGGCCGAATATTCCACTGGGAATGTGATAGCGAAAAACTTAAGGATGAGAATTTGGGTGGTACAGTAATACTGTTGTTCTGCATTATTCCTCTATATCTGATGCAGGAAGTAATCAGGTCCCGTGCTCGGTTACCGTGCTGTATGAGACATCTTGACATCAGGGGAAGCAAAAGACCATCATTTACCTTCTTTCTCTGTGAAGGCGTTCTCCAAACCCAACTTTAAATATCTGATAGTCTCTGATGTTGAATGGGCCATATTGAACCTGCGCAAGGTAACAGAATAACAGCTCCAGAGCGTTACAATTTCCAAACCAGTAAAACGGTGTGACATACTTCCGTCATTCCACAGTTTCATTCCACAAAATAATAGATATCTATAATACAGTCTGAAGATAAATGAGCCTAGAAAGTAGGCTGAAGCGTCTACAGATTCAGGTGACCTCTTATTGTGTCTGCTTCTTCGACCCACCCAATTTCCATCTGGAAGGCTAATCGTCCGAACTGCATTGTCTTTCAACAGGAACTCCCCTCCTTCGCATGCAGTGATAAAAAAATACCTTACTGCTTCCCACAGTATTCAGTGATGCAAACGGATTAGAGATAAATCTGTTCATAAAATATACATTTCACCCATTGTCCACCCATTCGACAACTATGAGTAAGACTTGTCAGATTCATTCAGAATAGTGTGGACCAGCATGAAAACCTTCGTCTAAATGTCATGACAGAGAGTTGGAGATCACTACACCACATGGACTTCATATCCAAAGAACAATAATTTTACAAGTGGCCTAGCACCTTTTTGCTTGTTTCCTTACAAGTGCGAGTTAAACAATTATATCTGACAGCTCCGGGTTCATTAGAACCAAGTGATCACTGGGTCCCGAGTAAATATCAATAGAATATCTAGCCAAGCATTACAATCAGTTGATGGTAGCAAGTCTGGCTTTGGGTGCTAAATCAGATGTTCTGATTCGCGGAGCTTCGGAGTTGGGATGCAAACGTCACTTGCTGATCGGTCACAAATCGACGAACAAGTCAGCGGATTAGGTTGGACCCAGCAGCGCACTGACGAAGTCACCTCGTTTGGTGATGCAATGTTTTGCATCGGCGAACAAGTGAACTCAGGAACGATCGACCCGAGCTACCAGTGCATCAAGATGTTCTGATGTTTGCTAACTTGTAAAACATCATACATTTACGGGGACGCCTTGGGATCAACTACAGGTGTAGCAGTGCCAGGTCGACTGATAAATGCAATACCATGCGTTGCACTGACGCCGTCCACCATGCTCTGATCCCAAATGGTTCAAAGTTGCAGCTACATTATTCTAAGCGTCTTGATTACTTTTGATATAAGAATAAACCCAGCCGGCTTAAATTCAACCTACATCATGATTCTGAAAGAACGCCAGGTTAGGATTGACAGTTCGGTAAAACCTCAAAATAATCCTTTAAATGCGTTTGACATGAAACTTGATGTGATTTCAGAAGCTTTTGAATACAAGTCAGTTATGGTAGGGTTTCATTGTGGCAACGTTTCGCCCTTGACACAAGAGCTTCTTCAGGCCAGGTGAATCGGTACAAAATTGGCTTAGCTTTTTATGGAAACGTAAGGTGAAGGTTGTAAGACATAACATGAACCATTGGATAATAGTGTTACAGGTCAATAGGTCAAGTAGCCATGCTAGTGAAAAAAACAAGCATCGAGCGTTTCTCACTGATGCACGTCACCGGTCGTTCACATGTGAGGCATTACTTTCTTGCAGCTGCTGATTCACGCTCCCACCTCAGTTCGTCCGCCGACACCTTTTCTGACTGACCGGGTTAACACAGTCCGTCACGCGTTCGATAACTCCACCCCGTCTGTTCTGTTCACACAGTTATTAGTCTTAGTAATCTCGATCGTCTCAGCAATCAACCTTTGGCCTGTTGCTCGTAATCTCCTTCTAAGTATCTCGACATTGTCCCAATCAATCGCTTGTCCTGCCTCTAGCGCATGTACGGCCACCGCTGAATCTTTTAGTAGGGCCCTGTATTCAGGCTCATTTCTCGGTGGACGCGAAACGCACCTCTTGTTTTCTGCTATCCTCGTGCATAGCTCTCTCGCTGTTTTGACCCTTTCGAAAAACCACTCTTATTTTCTCCTTATTTAGTACTCGTCTGATTGCTTCTGAGGTGCCATTTTTATAAAGGATTCCCACCGTCCCATTCCACTCCGTTGTGCGTTACGGAGGTGGATTTAGAGCTCACTGCAATTGGGGTTTCACTAACCACCTCGGATATCCATTGTCTATAATTCGCTCACCGTCTCCTTACGAGCGGTCTTCCTGTCCCCCTCCTCTGTACACAGAGTCTGGGCTCTGTGAAACAGAAAGGATGCGATAGCGACATAGACTTGTTTTGGATAACCCCAACTGTAATGAAGCACTCCGTCCGTACTTGTCGGCTTGCGATATATCCTCGTCTTTAGCCGTCCACCATTCCTGTGAACTAGGCAATCGAGGAATGGCAGTGTGCCACTGCAAGATTCTAGTTCCATAGTAAAGTTTGTTTCCATTAATGGAGTTCAGATGATTTAAAACGCATCCTTCATATCTCGCTTTATAATCACAAACGTATCATCCACGTAACGCCACCAAATCTTTGACGAACTACTGAAGTTTGTCAGCGCCCTTCTCTCAAAGTCTTCCATATACAGATTTGCCAATACGGGGATACTGGTGACCCCATGGCAAGTCCCTGTTCCTGAGAATACAGTCTCGAAAGTGAAATATGACATATTAAGGCATACTTTAATTCCATCGATTACCTGGTCTACCGTGAGTTTCGTCCGCTCCTCCAGGCTATTGTCCTCAGTAAGACAACGCTGTGCAATAACTAATACAACCTCATTACACCGTTTGCAACAGCCTAATTTGCCTTATTTTAAAAATTCTGCTGAGCGCCAAAACTTGTACTTGTTAAAACACTTTCACCTTTTCAAACAAGATTCCCATATAATGTTTACAATCCATAAATAGGCGTAAATACCCAAACCAGAGGAAGCGTAACCAGCACATCACCTCAAATTGATCTAGCTCATGAAGATAACGACGACTCTAAATAGTGTCAGTCAAATTAATCAACACGATTTCCAACTCAAATTCACGGTGAACATTTGAATACTGTGTAACTTCCACCATATAAAGCAGTGAGATGGTGTAGCTGTGGCTGTGTTGCAAACTAGAGTTGTGGTAAAAGGTTTGTATACACATTTTCAAGACCAGTAAATCTATTTAAAAACCACCAGTTGGGCAAATGTCCCTTCTGATTAATTATGTTTTTTGTACACTTAGCTTCAACCCAGTTGACTAACCACCAATTATATTTATATCTCCACATTGGACTTTATAAAAGAATGATCCAACTTTAGGAACTTATTGCGTTTATCAGGAAGTTGTTCATTTTGGATATATCAGAATCGTCGTCACATGCGGAACCATCCACGGGACGACGAACACTGTGTCGACTAAGTTTAACGGGTCCCATTATTTAAAACGCCTGGACATAAATCACCTACTCTAGGGTGCACTTCACCAGTAACTAACTCTGATGTAATCTACTTGATTTCCAGAGGAGAGCGTACTCTGTTCAATCAATTTATAAGTTGATGTTTCTCTATAAATAACAAGGTCAGCTACTGTTTACATCTACCATACATGAATGACTTACTTATTAGTAGTTTGGTTGCTGGATTTATACTATATGTCTTCTTGCGAGATCGCACCTAAAGTAGGTGCCCTTTTTATATCGAGCACACACGTTTAACGTTTATATGACCAGCTGTCTGCAGAGTGTTGGTAATGCGATAAGGCGTAGGAGATCTGATAAGCGAACCCATTTTCTATGCAATTGCCTAAGTGTGCACTACGCAAACTGGGCACGACAGGAAATATGCACGCACGACATTTAACAATAAATTCACAAGTTATCTGAGGCGATGGGTAGATAGCCATGCATATTGTTTTGTGGTGAACGTACAGATAAACAACCGTCATCCGGTTAACTCAAAGGAAAGTACATCTGATACATACATGGTGGCACTTTAGTTGCCAACTGTTCTAGGTGCAAGTGGACAATTTGCACTTTCCGTACCGAGTTTTCCTTGCATAGGAAAATGATCACCACATTGACTTTTGGTGTGTGAGATCAAATTATTGAATATCAACGGTTAACCTTTACCTGGACAAGAAACCGGGGTTGTAGAGTAACCTTTTCCGATCAAGTCAATCTGTGGCTTCGTCAACGTACTTCATTACCGAATGCAAGAAAGAAACCGCATGTAAAATCAGTGATCAGCAGCGCACAAAAGAACGTTTCAGTAAAACACGGGGAAACCCGTACGTGTGTGCATCGGAAGTTTAGTCCATGTCACCTGTGGCGTAGTATGCCTTGATTTATCGACCATCTTATAAAGTGTATTCTTATCGAATGTATCCGCTTATTGGTCTTTTAGTTATCTACTGTGCTTTTCCTACTAATCATGAAGTGGTGACGGAAACAGGAAAATTCCCACGGGTTTCGATGTTGCTCCTCCAAACACTGACACCTCAAGGCCGGTTTCGTCCTCCTTTGGACTCATCAAATAGAGATAGTCTTAACTGGAGTGGAACTCAGGGCCTATTAGTTAAGGGCTGAAGATTTGATCCCCATGCAAGTTAAATCCGTGAGCGACGCTTGGGTCCCACGGGGTTATGGTGCGACAGTCCATCCTGCTTACTATGAACAGGGAATGTTTGTATCTAGTCAACACTTTTAACAACGAATTCCCTCCTTAAACTTCTTTCACGAATAGAAGTAATCATATGCTTTAGCACTTACTTGAGTTTATCATTAATCAGTGAAAGTTTTTAATATGGGTAATATGTTTAACTCCTGGAACAATAAGGTCTGAAAACGCCAAATTGTCCGATCCGAGTAAAATAGAAAGGAAGGTTGGTAGATTATGACGCTGATTACGAAAAATGTTTGCAAAACAGCATGCGAACGGTTTACACCGAAGTTGCCCCGGACTGAATGTGGGGCACAGAAGCTAAGAGTTAGTGGTGTAATACCTTTTGCAAGGTTGACGGAATCTCCGTGACACTAGAAACGGAAGACTATCATTGGTATGCTGTTTTGTGAAGTGATCAATGCCTCAGCCTGGGACAAGAAATTAAAGCTACTTTCAACCCTTCTCTGGTCGAAGTATCACATGGATAATGTGGTAGTGTTGAGATTTTACACTACAACCCCAACGAACGGTATCTTCCGTTCTCAGCTTGAAGGTCACGGCTTTTTCAGGCGTAAGCTATGGCCTACTGGCGGCAGACATATTGATTTGAGTCTGCACCCAGGAGACGGTAGCCATAGAGCAGCAACTGCCAATTAATACACATAGGGTTTAGGAGGAAACTACAACGCAGACGTTTAGGTAAGACTAGCATTATTACTGTGGACATAATGCACGTACAGTGCGCACATTTCTCAACGTTCTTTACTTACCTCATGGGCTCGTAACCTTCATTTGTTTCAAAGGTAGTCCGACAACAGTAAATGTAAACGGTCAATAATTGCTTGATTGGATCAAAGAGATGTTGCTTCTGTTTACACTGAGCATGCCATGCATACTGGCATGTGCTAATTAACGAAAGTGAGTTTAGAATTTCCTGTAACTTGTTTCGAAATGGATGAACTTATTGTAAGGTTTAGATTCGATTCACATGTTTGCCTCATTCATGACTTCTGTGGGTGCTTGAAAAGTCGCTGGCACCTAGCGAGCAGGGAACCAATCACATTTGACCCTGAAGGACGCTGGATGGTGCAGGCCGACGTGTGACATGTTAGTCGGGTTCGGTCAACTACCTGATTGCCGTCAAACCGACGAAGCACTAGAGCAATTTGGCCACATCGGAACACTTGACCATCCCGACAAATCTGCGAGCTCAAGTCATAAGAGTCCAGAATACGCAGTGACCTCGTATGTGCCACTTCTATGTGTAACTCAGTAAGCGAACAGGTAGAACCGCACGTGTGAAATGTAGATGGACGCGGGTCGACTGACCAATGATCCAGGAACGAATGATTTGTTTTCTGCTTATCATGTGTGATGAATCAGAATTAGGTACGGATGAACTACGAGTAAACCGCAGCTTAAAAATAAAACTATATCATCATAAAACATAACTCAAATCTGCTGCATCATTTTGAAACACTACTGCACACATTTCGACGTTATTACATCACATCAGATAGAGTTAGCAGGCATAGAACCCGGGACCATTGGGATGTTAGTTGTGACCGCTACGCCTAAACGACCGGGTCACGGACAAAGCTTGGCACAACGGTATAACGAGCCATGTTGAGTGTCATTTTGAAGTACACGTTGTGTGGTCCTGGGTTCGATGCCTGCTAACTCTATCTGATGAGATATAATAACGTCGAAACACGTCATAGTAGTGTAGTGTTTTCGGGCGGGCAACACCAAATTTCTAGTTGCATCAGCTACGGTCCTCCTGATCGAAAGACCAAGGTACACTTCAATGGGAGTCGCGGTCAACATTGAGATTGCGCGTCGCAATCCATCCACATAACGTGTACTTCAAAATGACACTCAACTATTGTACACAGTTGCACAGGGGTTAGCCGTCTTATAAGTATAAAATTTCGCACTGCGTCTCAATGCGGGACATCTCCATGAATTTATTCCCACTGATAATTCAAGTGAATCCCATGCATACATCATAAAAACTTGCCTAGGAGATACCATCCCCCAGTTGTTATTTTGGTAACATCTTGAGTCAACTCTCAATGACCTTGGGACGAATTGAATATCGCTAATAACTTTGACAACTCAATCAACTTGCGTGGTCACCGAGAAGGTCTACAGAGCACCGAATTTGATCAGGTGGTGATTTCCGCTGAATTAGAAGGTCTTGGTAGGACAATTCCATCGTATGCATCGTCCTTTCGAGATACGAATATTCTCGGAACCTAGTAACCATATATTTGGCAGTATTTACCATCTTAGACAATACATAAGAGGGATATTTCGAATATACAAAATCAGCGCGAGGAATTAACTTAAGTTTCAGTTTTTCATATAGATTTGGCACATTCGTACAAGGAACTCGCAGTGTTTGCTTACCAGGGGCCAACAGCCCCTATGCACAATGTTGGCACTGTTCTGGCTACGCTTGATATCGATATGGTCTCATCCGAATAATTGGGGTAATAAACTCTAATATGGAACATTTATGAGTTGAATGTCGACAATACTGCGCAAACGAGAATTTGGGTTGATTAGAGAAATGCTGTTCGGCGCTCATGACAGTTAGCAACAGTGCTAGCGATCCTAACCCAATTACATTTTGGTCGAAATTTTCCAGTATGTCGAGCAGCTCATGGAAAAAAGTTTATGGTAGGTGGGCAAATCCTCTACAAAGATGCTATTGCCCGACACTGCGTTGTCCAATTGGTTCAGAACAAACCTTTCCCACCGTAACAATACAGCGAATTGTACCGAGTAATTAATTGCAGATGCAGCATTGCATAAAAAAGGTGCACGTCGGTCAAAATGTCATCAGTGTTGACCAGAAAGTAAGTCCCTGATCCTTATTCAGATAATAGACCTCTTACATAGTATGTTAGAGTGAAGAAACGGGTGATTTGTATGCGTATGAGATTTTTGAGATGAATCGTAGTAGATCAAACAGTGCGATGAAGACAATAAACCACTCACCCGCACTTTATTCCTTGCATTTGTGTTTTAAAATATTCAGACCTAACATTCACAAAAGGCATTGTAGAGTAAACAGGTAACCTACTGAAATTCCTTAAATTAGATGTGTTATCCGGCTGTCGTTGAAACTTATGGAAACATTCTATTTTCGCAGGACACTCCATTGATGATATAGGTGAATGTTATGTCAAGCCTGATGACAAGATGAACGCTCACGATGCGTAACCAGTTTAGTCTGGTTTTTTCTTCTTCTAGCTAAGCCGTGGTTCAGTTCCTTAGTGACCATTCAACGTCTTGTCGGCTATGTATTATCTTCGTGCAGCCGTTGTTATCGCTCGTTAAACACTTCTGCACGTACATTTATTCTTTGATATGCGGAACTGATTGATCTTGTGTATTAAGTAGATGTATGTATTCGTGGGCAGCACCGGCGCAGCGTTTGTAGGTACTCTACATTCGATTTACGAACTGCGTTCTTGCATGCTGAGTCTCTGTATGTCAAGTGTTAGGTTCGCTATACTGTCATATTGCTTCTTTATCTCCTATTTATATCTGTCTGAATTACCTTCTATGAACTTGCACATGTCCCTTAAACTACTTGCGTTAACTTCGATAACATTTTCGCGTTTGTGGCATTTTTGTAAAATATTGTTTCTGACCACTTGAACTTATCGCGGATTCGTTCGTAAATCAATTTATTTTCTACACTCATTTAGTGACGAGTTATGTCACGGCATCTGTATGCAATATTGTTTTTATTTTATTTGATATTGTCGTTCCAAGTGATTGGCTGTTGGTTGATATTCCCTGTGTGGCTGCGCTTGATATGCGTGTTGACGAGGTGCCTAACTGTCTATTACCTACTACCTGGTTCATACTGGCTCCAGGAGACAGTTGGACGTTGCTGAAGGGCACGGGGTGCACGGTCCGCTTGGCCCTGCTAGGCTCGAACAGTGATTCCATGCAGTCAGTGTGGAGCGGACTGCAGTCCAGCCACCGCCTTGCGTGCGTTTGATTCCCAAATACAGAGTGCTCGTGTTTGCCTTTGAAAGAGTGTGGGCCGGCTCCATTGATGAAACCTGACTACCATCCACATATCTCCTGGTCTTATTCCTTTGGGTTTACACTGGATATGGGGTGTTTTGATGGAGCTGTGGGTGGTGCAGCGCAAGCCACCCATGGTCCCTCTATAGACGTAAGTGTACAGTGGCTGGCCACAGTGACAGGCAAATCCGGAAACGGATGCCGCCAACCATATATTCATGTCTGAAGTTTGCATCAATTGCCTGATTGACTTCCCATCACTGTTTTACGCTCTGTCCATGTAGCAAAAGTGCTTAGGATACTAGAATTAAGGGTGCGGAAATCACCGAACATCAAGTGAGACAGAGACGATGCAGCAATTTTGAGTTTTCTGCGCTGAGAACTTCGTGTTAGTTAATCCGTTTGGTTACCATCTCAACCTGTCTCAAGTAACTGGGGTGCGCCATGATCACCTTCCTGGATAAATGTTCTCAAGTTAGTTATCAACAATAAATTGTGGATGCTGACAAAGTTCTGAAGCTTTGTTTGTCATAAAACAACAATTAATTGTGCTTATCCATCAAAATTTTGTCTGTTTGATTCACATATGTAGGCTTTGGGGTAGATGGTACGGCTGTCGTTTTTGGAATTCCTATCAGATTAGGCATGAGTTTTGCTTCGGTCTGCTAATATTCATTTAGGTTATGTGATGTGCAGTAATACGGCAGGTTCAGTGCAGGCACACACTTTGAATAAGACCAGTGTATGGGCAGTAATAACAGTTTCTGAAAACGTACCTCTGCTGTGGCAAACGCATCCCAAAAAGAAATTCCGACGATGCTGCATACGAGTGCATCGTTATTCTCCTTTGATTCAGTGACCTCTCAGATTTCTGTTATTACGACTGTAACATGCGGAACCGCGGATGCTTAGAACAGCTCAACCTTGGATAAAGCATGATATGATTGTCACACAAGCGAAGCTATCCTACCACAAAACCTATGTTACTGACAATTGCTGTTTGTACGGTAAACATATGCATAAACAAACAATAAATTTCTTGTTTTGTGAGCTGATCCCACTCGTAGTCAGATCCAGAGCGCTAACAATGGTTAACGCTTTCGTATACGTGATATTGTGCAAAATTATAGGCCACCAGGTGGGGATAGGGATGTCGGCGTAATGAAGGTGTGCTTTAAGCTCCTCTGGCCCCCGTAATATTCGTTCGTGCACAATCAATGTTTTTGTAATATTCAAGCGCTCATGTTCTGTTACTTGAGTTCGCAGATGTTATCCGCGGCAGCAGAAGTCAGTAAAATGCAAGATACATCAATTCCGTTACTTACTTACGCTTAATTACACTTACTTAAGTGTACTTGGGTATGACTCGGCGTCGCAGTAAAGACGCGAGGTCCACCTGCAAACACATCTGACGTCATGTTTTGTACTAAGAGTCACATTGTGTAAAGAGATTCTGGGAGTAGGGCCTGAAGATTACAGACGCAGAATTACCTACACATTTTGCAGCTTTCCATTTAATTTGATCCCAGTTGGGTGTGGAGAAAAAATGATAATGGAGCAGAGATTGGAGGCATAAATCGCTGTTTTTCTCTTGTCGACCATCAAATGGAGATACAAACCTCTAGTTAATCAAGACTGATTAAAGAGAGGACGTAAGAGTATGTTGGCAATTTGAGCCAATCCTTCGAGTAGTTTCCCTTTCGGTTACCGGTAAGATATAAGAGCCTTAGGTATGGATAAGATATTCCAGAGGAGGAATTCAGATATTTTGTTTCATCATATGCACATAGTATGAAGTTATAACTAATCCTTACTGTCATAGCTCCCAAAACCTTTGAATAATGCACCTTCTGAATATTGTGAGACCATGATGTTACTGATCACATACCCCAGGAGAAACATGTCTTTGTCGTTGCCCTCAACTTTTGTGGAGTTTCCTGATGCTCTTCGATATTTTGCTGAAATCATTGAATAATCCGTAA